CCTGTGTCTCAGTCTTCCAATAAGAATGCTGCTGGCCGGGCCAGATCAACATTGGAGAATTAACCATGTCGGATGGTTTCGAGCCCTCTCCAAGGCCCAAAATGCACCCTTCTTCCAGGGCCCCCTCTTCCGGGTGATTAAGTCTTTTAATGGCCCTTTGACATTTACTATCCCGGGAAGGCCTTAGCTCACCCCCCGTTCAAGTCTTCCCTGAGAAGGGGGAAATAGGATGCGCCACGGTGGACGATCCCCTTCTATTTCTTTTAATGGGCATCTTTTAGTCCCCAATCAATTTGACGGCACCGGCTGATTCCCCGATACCGGTCAAACCTCATGGGCCCGTGTAAGTACGGTTCGAACCTTCTTCCAGGTCCAGCCCTCTTGCAGGCATACCCTCTTCCGGGCCCCTCTTCCGGGTTTATAATTTTTTTATTTTATACTGAGCAAGACCGGTGTAGTAACCGGCGTACCAAGTCCGGGCCTGTGCCACAGTCTTCCCTTCAAAATTCTCTGAAAAAATATCCTTGATTGTGCATGTGCAAAGGCCACTTGTTGAGATATGAGTATTTTATCTCCAAATAACACACTGACCGAGATGTCCAAATCCATGCATCACACAGGTCAAGAGTTGGAGAGAATCTTTTTCATATAATGGTGAGGGAGACACTGCCATCCATAAAAAAAATGAAGACCCCACCACTTAGCACTGCTTCCCACTATTTTCGTATCTTTTTTCTTTTAATCCTCTTGATCCTCCAATCCTTCCCACATGGCTTCTGCTCAAATTCCAGCATAGTACCCTCCATTATTGTGAATGGGCCAAGCACCCAATTTATACATCTCTCCTATGGCTGTCCTTTCTGCCTTTCTCTTCTTTGTCCGATTCTCTTGGAAAAGCCCAGCTAGCTGGCATCTATGGCGAGGCAGCAACGCATAGTAAGCTTCAAGCGACAGGTCTCTACAATAGCTAGCTGGTATTTAGGACTGTTGTATGAAGTTCGACCAATGATGAGATAGTCCGGAGATGGCCCAGAATTTTTCTGGCCGATCTCAACAACAACGATTGCGAAATCGAGCAGCGGCGATAACATCTCATCACAAAGAGTGGGCGGCATCTTCGAAACGCCTGAAAGTTCTGGAACCTCGACTCCTGAAAGCTGTGGAGTCGCCGGCTTAAGTGAGAAGCAATGGTGATGTTGGCTTCAACGGTGCATCGGTGTAGGGGCGGTTGGCTTCAGCAACGGCGGCGACACCAGCGGCGTATATCGCAGCGGACCTCAATGGGAGTATCGGCGCATGGATATTCGCCTGATGACAGATTTTAGTAAAAATGACGAGTAATCTCTTCCCATGATAAAGTTGATTTCAAGTGAGGGTGGATCAGATCCACTGCCGGAAATCCATCTATTGGGTCAGTACAGCTCTTTTTCTGCTCCGGCATCACCTCATCGATGTTGATTGTGGTGGTGATTGCGGCGGGTTTGAGCAGCGATGGCAAGTCTGGACGAAGTCCTCCAGAGGCGGATCACATCGTTGTGGCGACGGACAGAATCGAGGATGGTGCTTGACCCGGCTAGTGCGCGACTTCTCGGACAGAGGTGATCCCCGATCATTCCTTCCTTCCGTTCTTTCCTCCATTTTTTTTAACGGAGTACGCAAATCGTCCCTGGAAATTGGGCTGCGATCAAGGGCGACGGCAATGAGTGCTTTAGTGATGAAGACATCTTGGCGGCCTTGCAATTTCAGCAGTAGCTTCATGCAACGTCAATGGTGACGGTAGAGCCAAAGGGTGGAGGGCGGCGATCCAAGGTCGCACAGGATCTGGTGGGGGATCTGGCAATTTGCTAATTTCACGCCTCTTTTTTTT